CATAAACAAGGCAAGGCATGCCTGGAGATAGGTTGCAGCTCGGACGCCAATCCCTGCGATGTCGGAGTTGCTTGGGATGGGACATATTGGCAAAGCGTCGGCCATGCAGGCTACAAAACCAGCGTAAGTGAAAAGGTAGGTATAATAGCGAGTATCTTAAATGGTTGAGTGATGAAACGCCTTCAAACAAGGCCGAAACACATCCTTACCCGCCCTTGATGGGCGCCCGAGGCACCCAAGCGATGTATATCAAAACTTAATCAAAACTTATTGCTGTTTGCAGAATAGTTGGCGTAGCTGCCTTTTTGGGCCTGGTTGCTTTTTTTTGGCGCGAAAGACTTTTCAGCTGTAGCTCGGTCAGTACATTAGATATTTGCTTGAAATAAGATATGTTTCGACATTTCCTGAAGCCCTTGAGGTGCCGGTGCAGTCATAATTTTAATTTAGTCAATTCGAAAATTCTAGCCTGCTGTGAGGGCTCAGATCAACTTTTCAGCTGTATCTTGCCAACAACGGATGCTACGAAGATGCTCCAAGGGAGAAAGTCAATGTATTCATACAAGGCGAGATGCACAACAGCATTTTTGGTGCCAGAAAAATCATCGCGGTGTTAAATCAAGAGTTGCATGTTTCGACCCGGACCCTGACATCCTAAAGGAACAATAGGATGCCACCACAACTCCAATTCCATTGCATGCACCTCAGAATGATACTCAAAAATTATCTCAGCTTACCATATGCTTACATCTGGTTACCTTCTCTCGCAGTGATGAAAATGTCAGTTATGCATGCCGAAATTTGAGGAACTCAAAACTTGCTCGCGAAACTTCAGAATTGGGGCTCGCATCTCTGAAATAGTGAGGGAATCACACACATACAAAATTCCATGTAATTTGATGGGGAAACGGAGAAGATATAACTGAAAAGTGATATTGCGACTCGACGGACAAAAAAAGCGATCGAGCCCAAAAAGGCAGCTGCGCCAACTATTCTGCAAACAGCAATAAAAGCAAATTCTTGGTTTCGGCCCGGTATTCCCGGTCCAATATTTTTCGCCCAAGTCAACCTGGGGCAAAATAGACTTGTGACTGGTCTCTGCAATAGCAAGAGTTATTTCTCATTGTAAAGGCCAGTCACAGGTCTAAAATAAGACCAACTATTCTTTTGCGGTCTCGGTAACCGAAAATTGGCATGAAATATGAGGCCTGGATAAGCGCATTGGCAAGCACGAGTAGATGAAAGCGTCACATCTACAATAGCTCTGCTCTCCAAGAAATTGTAGGTGATAAAACTAACAAGGACCCGTCCTGTGCTAGGAAGCCTAGGTGCCTGCTGAGGGACCGTAATACTATGCCATTGATCGACCAGAAGTGTCAATTTCGATGCCGTTTTACTTCAAGCGGTTGCAATTCTGTCCTGCTTTGCCTCACATTTCATCTAGGTGTTGGAATATCAAGTGTCGCGCATCATGGTGCAGTCGACGTTGGGATCTTCAATAGGAAGCATTGTTCATCTATTCTCCTCCTCGGCTTTCCTTATTACATCACATTGCTTCTATTAGTGTACACAGCATGTATGTACATTAGGTAGACGAACAACGATGACCCTCCCCTGTTTGCGAGGGTTCCCTGCTAAAATCCGAATGAGCAGCTGGAAATTTACCGCTCATTTCAACATTAGGATGCCTATTAGTATCATTCAAAATCCTGTTTCCTCATCTTGTGTATCTCAGTCCCAATAAATAATCAGGAGTTTTGCAAAGGCGCTCCGATCGTACTTGATGACCACTTATACGCCGGTGCCCTTCCTCAGCATCCTCTGTTCTTCCAAAAATTCTAAAAGTTGGCATAATCGTGCAGGTGTGCTATTGGAACCAGATTCCTACCAACTTTCTGATATAAATTCTCAAAATTGAAAAAGCGGCCGTGGCACTTTGGACATTTGGAGAGTTTGTAGTAAGTGGTTATATCTCGATCCCCCACTTCGGTATCATCTGCTTCCTGAGCAACTATTCGGCACCTTGCTATTTATCTGCTGGATTGCCTCGGGGCCAGTGTTGAGTCGATTATTCAATGTCGAACTTAGACATAAGAGGAGAAAAGGCACAAAGTCCGAACTGACATAGTATCTAGAAAATAATAAATGTACATGAAGAAATGAAAATGGATGCTTTCGAGACTCCGACACTCGAGAGAGTCTATGCATTGTCGACTCTCCAGGTATCGTGATTTTTCAGTGGTACTATGGTACTATGGTATTTTCTTGACTATCGTGGAAGTTACTGCCGCAATGCCATTGTCAATTCCTCAGTTTATCATTACATCACTGGCTTTCTCAAGACTCAAGTCCGCTTTTTAGCGTTAAATGTTAAACACTCTATATTGACAAATTACAACCTCGTTTTTAAAAATGTTACAACTGAACAACGTTGTATAATCAGTAATGCACAATAAATTTATTTGTGGGTCTAGAGAAAGCTGTGCTGTGTCGAAATTTGCACGTCGCTATCCATTTGCACATGCCGACCACCCGCAATAAGCCAAACACTTGCCACGAAGGTGCCGGATACCCAGAGGTTCAATGGCTCCCGCAATTGGCTCCATAGGCCCTACGACCGGATCATAACCTTGTTATGGTGACGAGGGCTGAGTCGGTGTTGATGTTTTACCCCAATGAACCTTATCAAGTGTTTCTGAGCCAGTAGCAGTGTAGAAATGTCTTTTAATTCTGCTATAATCTAAAGAATACCACAACTCAGCGTACATTGCTGCAAGCCGACGGTGTCTGCGGAAGTCCAAGTAAGTCAGGCCTGATCATCCGAGTTTCTCCGTTGTACTTCGCTTCATCTGGGGCTTCTTCGTTGTTAGCCACTAACTCTTATCGACTTAGATCAACCAAGGATCACCACTCGCACTTCGGTGGACGATACGCTAGGAGGTCAAAGGCGAAGGGGGAGAGTCAGAAGCGACCAGATAGTCGCGAAACAGGGAGCTTTGAGTTAGGTAGATTAAACCTTAGCCGAAGCTGGGGTTTAGACCAGCTGAGGCTCTACTTAAATACACATCGAGTAGACTAAGAATAGTACTGTGAGAATGTCCGATCAAGACCGCAGCATAGAGTAAGCATGAATGCGTAAGAAAAGGAAAAGAAAAAGAAAAGAAATGAATAAACCGTAACATTACCCCCCCCTTAAGACTCGTTCGTCCCGAATGAGTCCTCAGTTTCCTCTCCGCTTTGTTGCGACTGACTGTAAAAGGATAAGGCGTCATCATCATCGTTGTCATCATCTTCGCTATCGAAATCCCAGTTCTCCGTTACCTTCTGAAGGTGGGTAACATCGGCTTCGTCATCGGAAGGTGGGTCGAGTAGAATTGGAGGGTCCCTATAGGGTCTGTCTTCCCTCCGATGGTCCTTGATTTCTTGGGCACAGGCGTCGTAGGTAAGAGTCTCGGACCTTAGGATTATCGAACCTTGGATCTGATTTCGGTGGAGTGTACTTCCAATAGTTGTCATCCGGGACATTGTTGTCCCGGAGCCACTTCTTGTTTCTCTCCTGTAATGCACGATCCATTGATTCCGATATCTCCACTGACCAGCCGTTGGAACGACGAGCTGGTTGATATGGGTCCCATGTGTCGTCCGGCGTCCGAGCCAGCCACCTCTCCTACCGCGTTGATTTCCTCGTCGGAGTGCGCGGGGGCAGAACATTGGGAGGAGTAGACGGTCTCTACTTTGGTAAGGCAAGGCGTGGCTGGGTCGTGGTACTCGATGGGTAGGTTCCGCAGGTATTTTAGGATCAATACCGACTGTTCGGCCATGTTGATCTACTCCCCACTGGATTTTGCGAATTCGTGCTTCGTATTCATTGACCAGCTCTTCAGCGTTTGCCATGTTGGACCGTTTGACCCAGGAGTTCTCCTCCTTTGGGTAACCTTTCCATTTTACCAAGTACTCCAGTGATGGTAGTGACGGGTTCGTCCTCGACTGACTACCTTGTCTCGCTGTTCGACTATCTCTTCAATTTCGTACTCCTCTTCATCTTCAATCAATTCGGGGGGCGGCCTTTCGGGACGCGGTTGACTGGAGAAGGAAGGCGCGATATAGGGTGTCAACAGGGATTCGTTGAATCGGTTGTGGATTTTCCACTGCGGGCGGTAGCTTTAACTCGTACGCGGAGGCCCCTTTCTTTGCGATGATAGTGAAAGGGCCTACTCGTCGGTCGCCCAGCTTCTTCGTTGGTCTAGGGAGATGAAGGTTGGTTGTATCGAGCCATACCTTATCTCCGACTTGATACTCCATGGAGGTGCCTTTATGCTTGTCATAGGCCCTTTTCATGGATTCCGCCGCCTTTTCTAGTGATTTCTTGGCTTCTCCCTGCGCCTTCTCTATTTCTTCCACCATTTTTCCCGCTGCTGGGACCGTTCGTGGCTCGTTGAGGCTTCTTAATGACCTCCCCGTCCCTCCCGAAGATGACCTTATAGGGAGAATACCCAGGTGGCTGAGTGCTGTCGGTTATTATGCGTAAACGCCGCCAACGGTAACCACTCGCTCCAGTCGTCCTGTCGGTCGTTGACGAACATTTTGAGGTACTTCTCGATTTCCTGATTAACCCTCTCGGTCTGTCCATCCGTTTGAGGATGATAGGCCGTGGACGGGTTTCCTTCGATGTGCAAAAGTCGATAGAACTCCTTCATGAACTTGGAAACAAAGACCGAGCCTCTATCGGAAATCACCTTCTCGGGCATTATGCCATAGGGTACGTAGACGTAGTCCCTCAGGATTTTGGCAAACCCGAGAGAGGTGAGCTCCTCCGTACAGGCAATAGGGATGATGGCTTTAGAGAAGCGATCCACAATAACAAGAATGGAGTCGAATCCCTTGGAGGTCGGGAGTTTGGTGATCATGTCGACCGAGATGTGTGTCCACGGCCGCACGGGGACCTCGTTGGGGTGTAAGGGAGCCTTCTTTGGATGGCGATCCGCCTTGGTCCGCTGGCACACGTCGCACCCCTTCACGTATGCCTCTACGTCTCGGCGCATCCTTGGCCACCAATAGTCACGGAGTATCAACTCCTTGGTCTTTTCAATACCAGGGTGGCCAGCGGTGACATGATCATGTTTGAGGGCTATGATCTGTCCTCGAAGGTCGCGATCTGCCGGTACATAGATTCGACCGTCATACCACAATAGATCCTGATCGCGAGAGACACCTTTTTCATGATTCAAGGAGTCGGAAATCCCCCTATCCCAACGGCGAGGGTCGTGCGTTGCCGCTTTGATTCGCTCATGTAACTCCTCGGCGGTGGGCATGATCAGGGCCCTGAAGTGTTCCGCCTTGAGTACCACCACGTCTCGATTGTCCTCCTTGCCTTGGTCGTGGTCCGCTCTCCATGACAAGAGGTCTGCTTTCCGATTTTGGGCTCCGGGCTTGTGGTGTAAAGTGAATTGATATTCCGCTAGCTCCGTCACCCACCGCGCTTGTCGTCGGTTGAGTTTTTGGGGTTTGTGGAAGTACTGGAGGTTGGAATGGTCAGTCCAGATTTCAAAGTTCTCTCTCGCCCCCATTAGGTACTGGCGCCATTCTTCTAGAGCAATCATGATGGCGAGGAGTTCCTTGTCGTAGATCTCATAATTGCGCTCCGTCACCGACAATGCCTTGGAGAGGAAGGCGACGGGGCGCCACTTCTCGTCCTGCCATTGAGAGAGTACCGCCCCTACTGCTCCTTCGCTCGAGTCCGCTTCTACTCGAAATCGCCCTTGGTCCAACGGTATGGCGAGTACTACGTCATCACGGAACAGCTCTTTGAGCTTTTCGAACGCCTTGTGTTGCGCCTCTCCCCACCGCCACTCCTGTTTTCCGGTAAGCGAAGTGAGCGGCTTGACGTGTTTACTATAGTCCCGGATAAATCGCCGATAAAAGTTGCAGAACCCGAGGAATGACTGTAACTCTTGCTTCCTTCGGGGAACTGGCCACTCGAGTAGGCCCGCAATCTTGACAGGATCCATGCGAATCTTTCCTTCACTGATGATCACCCCGAGGTACTCCATCTCTTCGACCTCAAATTCGCACTTCTCCGCTTTGAGGAATAGCTTGTTTTCCCGTAATATATGGAGGACCCTGCGTATGATGCGTTTATGTTCTGCCTTAGTCTTGGAAGCAATTAAAATGTCGTCCAAGTATACCGAGACTTCTCCCGCCGATATCAAGTCCTTAAAGATGTCGTTCATCATCCATTGGAACGTGGCGGGTGAGTTGGTGAGGCCAAAGAACATTACCAGGGGTTCATAGAGCCCCCGGTTGGTCCGGAATGCTGCCTTCCACTCGTCCCCTTGTTTGATTCGCACGTTATTGTAGCCCCACCGCATGTCCAATTTAGTGAAGTACTTGGCCCTCTTTAGCCGGTCCATTAGCTCTCCGATAAGCGGCAACGGATAACGGTTCTTGATGGTCATCTCGTTGAGTTTTCGGTAGTCCTGGACCGGACGTAACCTCCCGTCCTTTTTCTTGACGAAGAAAAACGGAGAGGCCATAGGGGACTTGGAGGCTTGGATGCGTCCAGTAGACAAATTCTCGTCGAGGAACTTGTCTAGTTCCTCTTGCTCGGTTGGGTTGAGAGGGTAGACTTTACAGTCCAGGTTGGCGTTGGCATTGGGGATCAGCTCGATGGCATGATCCCAGGGTTTTCGCGGAGGTAACTCGTCAAAGTTTTCTTTGTCAAAAATGTCCTTGAAGTCACGGTACTCTTCTGGCACTATCTCTTCGAATGACTTGGTCGCCTTCTTGGCGTTAGCCTGAGCCGCCAGTTCATTGGCTTTGGTGCCCATGGCCCTTACATGAAAGGCCTCTTCAAAGTCTATTACGAGGATAGTATCCCCTTCCTCGTACTCGTCCCAGCGAGCCGAGGGGTCGGTGTCTGGTAGAGAGAACGGAATTTTTCGACAGGTGCATCGAGCCAAGGTGACGGCCCCGGTGTCCCAATCGATCAAGGGATTATGTCTTTGCAGCCAGTCATGCCCGAGGAACAGCGGGGTAGAGCCTAGGTCTACTACGGCCAGTTCGATCCGCTCTACGTGATCCCCGATTCATAGCCTTACTTCAGCATACTCCGTGATATCGCCCCCTTTATTCCTAGTGCCATCGGCATTATAGACGGGGACGGGCCGAGCTGCCTTTTTGAGGTTAAGGTCATGTGCTCGAGCCCAGGCCCTATCGATCGAACTCCCCGTAGCGCCACTATCCACTAAGGCGCTTACAGCGTGCGTTTCCCTTGTATCTAGCGTTTCCAATTGTACTTTTATTGATACATTTCGTCCCTTCCTGCCTCGTATGTACATAGGGGGTTTCTGTAGGTCCTCCATCCACTGCCACCTTTCCCTCGCCTGGGAAGCGGTTTCCGCCTGCTCTTGTAGTTGGCTACAGAGTTGGTCGGTGACCTCTTCACGTCGCCGTGGATGCACCCACCCGTTGAGGACGGCTCGGGCCGCCGCATCTCCTCGAGCGATACGCAACGCTCGTCGGGTCCAGAGAATGCCATGGGGCTCATAGTACATTTCCGGGATTACTTTTTTGTCGGCAGGGGTTGCGGTAAGCGAAACGGCGGGAGAGGGCGTCCTCCTCGGTGCCACGACCGGAATGTCGGACCGTAAGTGGGCTTCTTCGTCCTCGACTTCTTCCAGCGAAACTGAAGAGGTCTTGCTTCGAGGTGGCATTTGGTCACCGGGCCGAAAAGGGCCCCTCAGCGGCACTTGGGTGCCTTCCGTCGAAGTGGTGGAGGAGGGCTCGCTGCCCTGGGTTCGACCCCGGCCAAGGGTGCTTGTGCGCGGCATTGTAACCTCCACGGTCGATCCGTTACTTACGCTCTTCCTGGACCCGGCGGTACTTCGGGTAACTCTTCGCGGGCGCACACATATTGGCTCGCCCGTGCGGTCCTCACTTTTTGTCGCTTGGGTGACTACTGGGTGAGGGTGGTCGTCCGGGTTCACGGCCTCAGCTGCTTTCCCGACGCCTCCCGTTGGAACAGACGACCCCACAGACGAAGCCGCAGGCCCAACGGGCTGAGTTGTCGGCCTTTCTCCCTCTCCGGGGTGACCTCCCCACGTCTGGGGTGCAGTCGAGACTCGACCTAGGGGGCTCTGCCCTCGAGGGGCTTTCCCTGTGCGGTGAGCCGGGGGTTCCTGAGCTGGGACAACCCCTAGGGGTTCATTGCTGATCGCAGACTGCGAAGAGCGGCGGGAATCCCCTCCTACGCCATCAGTGGTTGGCGATTCGTTTTCCTTAGTTTCTTCTACTGGTAGTACGGCGAAAAAGTTGGTATATTGCTCATAGGGGGTACCTACATACGTAGTATAAGTCCGACTAGAAGTACATGAAAGCGCACCAGTAGAAACTAAATCCTTTGCCGACGCCGTCGAATTGCTTATTTCGACGCCGGCTCGTCTTTTGACGACCCTTTCTCCTCCTTGACCTCCTCGATCTTGGAATCCTTCCCGTTCTCTTCCTTTTCGGCTTCAGCAAGCAATTGACGGAGGCGTTGGACGTTGGGTTTTTTACGAGGGGGGAGTTTGACGGGGAGCCATTTTGATTTGTCCATTGGACATTTATGGTCTCGGTTCCAACCGGTATTGCCGCATTTGAAGCATCGCTTGTCGCTTCGCAACTTGTCGATCTCCATCGGCTGCCCGGCACCCCCATATGTCATCCCGGTGGTGTCCTTCTTGTCGCCACCTGACCCCTGGCCTCCACCCTTCTGTGATGATTGATTGCCTCAACCCGAACCTCCCTGGTTCGAGGAGGACTTACTGCCCAATCCTTGGGCTACTCCATATCGATAATTGGCGTCTATCCTCAAGACGCGTGCCTTCCACTCCGCGTAGGTTGTGGGGCGCTCATTG